TTCCCATCTCTGTATGTTGAAAACTTAATATCTGCTTGGACTGAAGCACTAATTAGGCACTGAGGATGCTAAATGAACATAATAATAGCCTTAGCATGTCTTCGCAGGATTTAAGAGTCTAGTATGGGAGACAGATAAGCAATAGAATATGGTATGACAGAGCTATGATGGGGAACCACAACGTGTTGGGAACTCAGCAGAGACACCCTCCCTTCACCTGGAAAGGTCAAGGAAGTCTTGGAGGAAGTGTCCAGAAAGCCAAGACCCACTGAGGACCAAGAGTTAGCTTGACGTTTTGCAGGGAGTGAGGAGAAGAGGACTGACTGGTGCTGAGAGAACAAAAGTGAGTTGAACTGACATTGTTAAGGCGAGTCCTCTGTGAAGTCAGGATTTTGACCATGAGAGACACACTTACCTAATTCTCAGGTCCAGATAGAAACGTCTACCAAGTTCAATCTGTTTCATGTTTTTGAAAGAATGGTCACATTTCTCTCTAAAGCCCAATTTAGAACAGGCTGAAAGTCAAGGGAGAGGTCATCTCTAGAAAAAATTTCCCTTGCGTTTTGCCAAACACAAAATATTTGAACCCCAAGCTCAATTGCTGGGGGAATGTGTAGGCTTTTTATATTGGGTTCACCAGAAATAGTGCTCAGTGAATACTCTTGAGACATCTGTGAAGAAAGTCACAGGAAGTTTGTACGTGGGGCTCTGTTCTGAGGGTGCAGGCACCCTCTAAACAAATAAGCTAATGAAACAGTAAGAACCATAGAAGAGAAAAATTCAGTTTCTGAATTTTGAAGAGATCACAAGGGCTTAAGTTGTCTGGCTCTCACTGCTCCACCTCTGATCCCCTCCTGCACTGTCCTAAACCAGAGACCCTGAAAGTCCCTTCACCAAGGGATGCTCAATTCCACTGCATGCCACCACTCACACTGCTGATTTGTTATCAAGCTATTTATTTCTATGAGAGACACTCCTCACAAATACATTGGTAGAAGAGAGGTATGACAGATGTGGCATCAGCCATCAAATATTTCCTCTACTTGGGCTACCCTGGTGGCGCAGTGGTTAATAATCTGCCTGCCAACGCAGGGTTCCATCCCTGGTCCGGGAAGATCCCACATGCCGCGGAACAACTAAGTCCATGCACCACAACTACTGTGCCTGCATGCCACAACTACTGAGCCTGTGTGTCACAACTACCGAAGCCTGCACGCCTAGAGCCTGTGCTCTGCAACAAAAGAAGCCACTGCAATGAGAAGCCCACACACCGCAACGAAGAGAAAGCCTGTACAGCAACGAAGACCCAATGCAGCCAAAAATAAATAATTAAAAAATATTTTCTCTACTGGTAACAATTTGGTACCCAATAACTCTTTGCTCATTCAAAATAGAAAATATACTCAATCTTCTAGTTCTCTGATACAGTCCATCCATGCATCATCACAATGGATTCTTATTTCTCATCCTGTTTTCCTAGTTTATTTTCTTCAAGCATCCATATGGAGGGTTAACATTTTCTCTATAAAAGTATTCACTGTGGCAGTAGAATCAGGTAGGTCTCATCCATGAGGGCTTAGTTATCGAAGCACCAAAGGATGTCTTTATAAAACACTGACTGTATATGGAAGTCACATGACATGGACCCGAAGAACTATATAACCAGTTAGGTTCCAAAAGGTTATATTGTTGGTAAAGCTACTTCATCTTTTTCAGGAAAACCATTATAAGCTCATCCCAGAAAACAAAAACTCATTTTTGTTAGAATGTTATTATCAAGCTCTGGAGGGTCAGTTTGATAACATTTTTCCATTACAAATGTTTCCTATTGTGATACCATATTTTTCCAGATGGGTGGGCCAACTGTAATTCTGCTCTAAATCTTGCTTTCTTCCAGTTCCCCGTGAGTTTTCTAATTATGGCCTTTAACAAAGTTTCCAGCAATGGTGAATTGAGATTTGTTTTGAAGTATGAATATAAATGTGTTTGAAAATGGGTTTAGACCCTTGTGTGGAAAGAGCCTGAAGCTTCCTAAACAGAAAAATCATCAAGTAAATCAGAACTGACTTAAGAGTCTGGAAAATGGTAGCAGGGTTTAGTGACCTTATATCAAACCACGGCCAAGGCCACATTTTAACACCTCCCCACTCCCAGATTAATTTTATTTCTGTCACCCTCTTCAGCTTTTAAATTTCCTTCCATTCAGCAAAATCGGTTCCATTCAAGAGAACAAATACATTGTGACTTCTATGCCTGATACTTCTCTGTGTGCACTGGTGGAAAATAGAGTTTTAGTTTTCAGCTTTGCACCTGAGAATCGTGCGGGAGTAATGAAATGAGTTAAGCCTCCTTTTCTCCTAAAGCCCCAGGTTTTCCTGAGAACACCCATATAACATATGTCAGTTCATTTAGGCCGGAAGGCTCCTCAAAACCGAGGCCATTTTCTTGTAGGGTCATTTTAGTCTCTTTTTAGATAAGGGGACTGCATGTAAATGCTACCTTGGTGGCAGAGGCTTTCCTGGGCAAAAGTCCACACCTTCACCTGCAACCCGTTTTCTCCTTCCCCGGCACGGTCTTGCAGGGTCGCGGCGCTTCCAGCAGATGGCGCCGCAGCTGAATTTTCGCGACCCTCTCTCTAAACCTGCAGAAGAGTCTGGAATAAACAGGAAGAGGAATTTGTTTTTTTAACCACTCCAATTTCCAACATATATTGCTTTCTTTGTCGGGTCAGAAGCTCTTTTTACTTAGCCAAGTTGAAATGTATTTGAGACGTTTAAAAAAAAATCAGTGATTACGCAATCCCAAATACATGTTTTTTGAAAGAATTTCCACTGTCTCAAAGGACTCAAGAAGCAAGTTTTCAAGTAAACTGTCACAAGAGTACAGTGGTTCAGAAACATCAGTAGGCAGCGCTGGGTGAAGAAAGACTGGCTCGAAAAAGACCAACAACGCGTAGCACGGTAGAGCCTCGCGGGGCCGCAGCGGAAGTGACCTTAGAAGCGGGCGGGGCGGCGGCCTTGGGCGCCCGGAAAACAGCGTCGCCTGCTGGTCAAAAGGGAGAAAGCGCGGATCTCGTCGGAGGCTGCGGCATGGCTCCCCCGACACTTGGTCCCGACAGACATTTCAAACACGTTTGCACTCAAGTTGCTGCACGTTATGCCCTTTACCCAACAAAACCGAAAGTAATGCGCACAACCAGAGTAGTCTATCTGTCGAGAAGAGACACCTTAGAGGCCCGTCGTGGTTTGGGGATACAGTGTTTCAAAGGGCTTAGCTGTTGTTAATACCTTCCTAAAGCTAAAAAGGGTGGATTTGATTTTCATGGTATAATTGTTATTTAAAGCAATCATAAAGGAGAGTGAAAAATAGAACCTGATAGGGGCTCTCTTTCGTTTTTCCCATCCTGCTTTAAGTTATTTACAAAATAGTAAAAGAGGTTATCAGAAGCAAGTTGGGAAAAAAAGGGCAGAGGGTTGAATTTCAAGGTGATTGTGCTTATCATTTCTTATTATGGCCCCTCATTTTTATTCCAGGGTTGTTGCAGTTCCATTTCTAGAGTCCCTCCTCCTCTCCCCACTTCCTTTTTCTCTTCACTCATTTGACAGGAGCCTCCGCAATCATCTGCCTAGAAAACGTCATCATCATCCACTGGGAGAGAATTGTGGTACCACCTTTCTCCACCTATGGCTGAATCCCACAGAAAGAAGATGATGGTTGTGCTTCTGCTCTTGAGCCAGCGTGATTGCTGGGAACTGAAACCTGCAAGATGATGCCAAAGCGCAGCTTCCCCCTTTTTATGCGGTGTAGAGCTTTATGTTGCCCTTCATTAAGCTGATGCTTTCTCCTACAGAGCCCTGTCCTTCACGTTCCCCAGAATGATGCGCTAATAACCTTCTTGTTCCTTCCACTTGCAGAGATTCAGTGCCTTAAGCAGAAGAATTGTACATTTCCATTTTTCTTCTTGTAAGGTAGTGAAGGCCCAAGGATGGACGGTTTCATTTGGACTAGTCATGCTGTTTATCAGGTCCCTGTTCTCTGACATGAAAATTCCAGTCTCCCATCAAGGCATAGCTGTAGGCATTAATTATAGGCTCTAGTTCAAAGCATGCCGTCTCTTTTGAGCAGCAGCACCAGAAATTAGGAACCCAACTGGAAGAGAAGCTTCTTGAGGGTCCTGGAGAAGGAAAGTTGGGCCCCCAAGTCCTGTTCACAACTACTCTAGCCTTCACAATCTGGACCCAATCAGATGAAGACTGAGAGCTCAGTGTTTGGAGGACAAAGAGTAATGGATACATAGTAACTTGACTGAGTTAGGGACAGGATCCAAGACATACCTGACATTTGTTTATCTGCAGAGAAACAGAAGTAAAGGAGGGGAATGTCTCCCTAAGTGTTACTGTGTTATAAAAGTGTCCTCCCGGGAGAGGACACATGAACAGGGCAGCTGATAACATTAACGCTGTGCAGGCAAGCACACATCTCCCCACATCCCCAGGACTGCTGAACCAAGTGTTATTAAACTAATCGGCAGGGACGCAGCTCTGAACCTCCCCTGCTGCAGTCCTCAGAGGGAGTCGGCTCAGACAAAGCAAAGTGGCTTTTCCGAGGGGGAGGGGTGCCCGCTTTCTCTTTGTTCTTCCTTGGAAAATGGGCTCTCTCTCAAGTCTAATACAACAGCTGCTTACATCTCTCAGAGGAGGGTAAAAGAAGTTAATTCCCAATAAAGATGTGGACAGCATATTTTGGAGCCCTGAACTCTGTGAAATGCACAGTCAAACTGTTTTTAGAATTCTAACATGCTGTAAGTTTTATTCTGGGTTTCTAGGCAAAAATTTCAGAAAGGTGCCTCTCTTTATCAAATAAAAGTAAAAAGATCACCTTCAGAAAGGGGTGGTAGAGACAGTGTTTTGAATCCTTCTTAACCTAATAATAGATGTCCTGCACCTTTACTCTTAAGAATCTCTTCCTCGCAGAGGTGTATGATTTAATGAGCATACTCTTTTGTCTGCTAGGAAATCCCTTCAGCAGTAAAACGGCTCTCTGAGAAACCACACTTTTTTACACTACAAGTGATTTTTTCCTCATAAGAATGATTTACTCTAGCTCCTTTAAAGGTAAACACATTCAAAATTTCTATCCCTGACTTACATGTGGAATCAAGACAAAGGGTATTTGTTCTTGTGTCAGGAATAGGCCTGCCGCTCCCCAAGCACTCAGAGCATCTGCTCCCCGGACTGATTCTTAAACCAAAAGCCACACGTGGCTTCTGTGCTTGACAGCTGGGGTGACCTTTTATATCCAGTTGGAATTTCAATTTGGGCCGGCTGGAATGGGTTTGCACACACAACAGAAAATGGGCTCTGTTGGTCAGAGAAAGCTTACTGGGCTAAAGACTAGGCTGACATTTTGGAAATACTGTAGGTTCATTTCCTGGGAATTCACCCCCCAAAATAAAGTCCCTTCAGTCCCTTCAAGTGGCATCCTCAGGCTGTTTAAGACAATTCTGACTCTTTGGGGATTTTATCTGCCCACTTAATATCAGCTATGTTGTCCAGAGTAACACAATATCTGCACATTTGTACTCAGCCTAGCCTTGGGTCCTGTGGAGAGCAGCTCTTCTCTACCAGCTCCTGGGGACCTCATTCTTTCCAGCACTTTCAAGAGGAAGTGAGAGCAACCCCCAGCCAGGAAACCACCCAGCATAAGTGTATGATCTGATGGCTCACGTCCTACAGGTAAGCTTCTAAAATGATTCTGAGGCTAGACAAGAAACGAATAAGCAGGTGTTAAAGGTTATATATACCTTTGTCATTAACAGAAAATTTTGACAAAATAGCACTGGGCGTGTATAGTCATAATACTACCCTGTGTTTATGTTATTATCTGTTACCCGGAGAGCATATTACGGAATGCCTTTCATCTGACAGGTTCAAAGTTCTTTCCAGTGTTAACCTCATACATTAAGGTACTTCGGTTTAATAACTAACAAGAACTTTGAGGGCAAGAGCCCTGTCTTGCACTTCCCTTATGCTTCACACCATACCCAGCAGGGTATTAGACATGCAGTAGGTACTCAGGGAATACTTGCTTAAAAATATATATATACATATATACATATACATATACATATACATATATATATACATATACATATATATGGAACAATGGCTGTGCTTTAATCCTGAGATCAGGCCTGTCTTTATTGTCACATCTGAAGAAAATGGATAGTGATACTCTGTAGACAGAAAATGGAAGTGGGGATATTGCAACTTCTCTGATAATGATGACAGCAGCTGCCTTCCCTGTATGCCAGAAACTGTATACTTTATACACATTAACTCATTTAGACCTCACCACAATCTCACAGGCTAAGTTTACCAGGATTACTACTCTTATTTGACATATGACAAGATATTACCCAAGTCACACAACGAATAAATAACCACATCAGGACTTGAATCCAGAGATTAGTCTCCAAGGTGCATGCTTTCAGGTACATCCCTGCTCCAGAATAGCTAATAATGACATTCATGGTTCCATTTACTAACTGCCCTTCTTTGAGGGATCGCCTCACAACATAATGTTGTGAAGTGGGAGGGAAAGAGGGAAGATGCTAAGAAAACACAGTTCATAACGTACACATTTCAGTTTGCATGGTTTTGATGTTTTTTCCTATATGTTATCTCATTTAATCCTCACAGCATGCTGTCAAGTATGTTACTGTTATCTCTTATATATAAGGAATAGATTTCTGGAGAATGGGTGGGTCTTTTAAAAAAGTAAATGCTAAAATTCAGAAGCTGAGAGGCAACAAATCTTCTAACACTGTGCCTACCCTAGGCCTCTTAGCTCAGTGTTGGTACGCACTTCCTATGTTTCCTTCCTTTCTTACTTATTAACACTCCAGTGAGTCATAAAGCTTATGCTTGTCTCTACATACAAATATGATTAAATGTTGACTTGCCATGCCACTAAGCCATTTCAAAAGCAGAGGCGGGCTTCCCTGGTGGTGCAGTGGTTGGGAGTCCGCCTGCTGATGCAGGGGACGCGGGTTCGTGCCCCGGTCCGGGAGGATCCCGCGTGCCACGGAGCGGCTGGGCCCGTGAGCCATGGCTGCTGGGCCTGCGCGTCCGGAGCCTGTGCTCCGCAACGGGAGAGGCCACAACAGTGAGAGGCCCGCGTACCGCAAAAAAAAAAAACCAAAAGCAGAGGCAAGGTAGAGAGGAAACAGTAAAAGTGAGAGTGCATGGAATGCTAAGTGATGTAACAATTAAAAAGAATGAATTAGATTTCAATGTACTGCCATGAAAAGATCTCCACAAGGCATAGTAAGTTAAAAAAAGAAAGAAAGAAAAGCAAGTTGCAGAGTAAAAAGTACAACAATGGTACCATTTATGTTTTGGAAAGATACAAACCAGTATAATACAAACACACACATCTATGCAAACATACATATAAACAGTTGGTTACACCCCAAATTGATAACCGATTTCTCTGGGGAGAGGATTGGGTCCGGGGTGAGGTACATAGCATTGGCAGACTTTATCTTTCTACGAGATAATTTATTCAAATAACGTGTATGTAAGAAAAAAAAAGAGAAAGGACAGGAAAGAAACAAGTGATGGTGTTAGAACATAAAAGGTTAGCAATATGCAGTAAAACAAGTGGTACAAATACACAAACTAAAATCCACTGCCACATTCATGTTCATAAGAGACCGAGAGATTAGAAGAGAGTCCTCATGTTGGCATTATTATTATCAATTGGATGATTTTTAACATGTAATGTCTGACTCTACCAGAAATACAGAGCTGTGAAGTACATTAGGCTTCGAGCCAGATAACCTGGGTTCAGGGCATGACTCTGCATTTCTCTGTAACCTTGGGCTAATCTCTCAGGGTTCCTTAACTATCAAGATAATAGTTACATACTTCAGAGGGTGCTTTGAGCATTAAACGAAATAATGCTCAGGAAAGAACAGCAAAATCATGCAGACTGAGACTTATGAATTGTGTTTGTGTTTCCTCTCTTCCCATTCTCTCTCCTCCACTTCAGAGAATTATTTATTTACACACCTTTAAGATGTCTGAATGTCCCACAATGAGGCAGAGTTAAATTAACAAACCGTTAGTCTTCAGTACAATATTTGCTGATAATAGATGGGCCTCCATTATTTGAAGCTTTAGATTATGCACATGCATAGTTTTTAGGCTTCAATAACCTGTATTCATGTATTTATTTTAAGGAATATATCTATTTGATTCTATTTATAAAATATACTCTTTTCTTGTAAAACCTACTTTTGATGCAAGAACTGAAATATACAAATCAGAGGGGCCATTTAAAGTATAAGCCAAAAATGCATTAAATACTTTTGCACCTTAAAATGTGTTTATTTGTGGTCCTACTAAAATTTCAGGCTGTTCTGAAATTTGAGAATCTAATTATAAACCTTACAGTAAAAAGGGTTGCAAAAATAATAAGAGAAATACTATCACCAATATAATTAAACACAAAAGAGAAATATGAACAAATTAAAAAAATATATCAGTTGCCTACACACAGCACCGTGTCCACACTGCATGACGTAACTATTTCCAATTACAGCCTCACCTTTGAAACAGAGCTGGGTTCTCATCTGCTTTTGCTGGATGTGCCTGTGTTAAAAGGCGCAGGGACCTGAAGATTTCTGGTCAACTAAATAAGAATCCAGTTTAAGTTGTTTTGCAGTTTGAGTTCAGAAAGGATTCATTTAAAGGAACCAATTCCAAGCACACAAAGCACACATCCCTCCCAGGCTCCTCCACACCATTAAACTGGGCTGTCATTTTAGAGCTGGGGGCCCATTGTTCACTTTCTTCTATGCTAATTAGACCTGACAGATTGCTCTTTCTAGCTAGACGGGCCCTTGCCAAGAACAGAGAGAAGAGATGAGGCTGATCTTGTCTTTATGCCTTTGGGATTAGTGCCCCATCCCCCATCCTAGTCCACAAACACAGAAAGGTATCCCCAGCAGCTCAAATCTGTTCCCCTTCTCCTCCAGCCTCCTTCTTACTTAACCCCTGGCAGTCTCAGCACCACTGACTTTTCTTACTTTCAATACCGTGAGATTCAAACCCTAGTAGGCTGTGGGAGTGGAATAAGCGTATGGTAAAATTTTTCATAGTAATATTCTGACCTTTTTTTTTTTTCTCTGCAGGCCCAGGGGGAAAAACAGATCACCTTTTCTAAAGGGAAAGATACTGCAGTTCCACCCAGCAGCAGGAAATATCGATTGCTTCATAAAACAGAGCTCAGGAAGGATTCAGGCCCTGGCACTGCCTGCATGTTTCTGAAGCAGATCCCTCGCCCCGCTGCCCTCAGTTTCCGTCTGTGAAATTCCATCAATAATTCTTGAACCTTTATCATATCAAAAACATGTTATACTGGTATTATGTAAGAATTAGATAATAAAATTATAGAGCTGGAAAAGATCTTAGAGATCACCTAGTCCAGTGTCTTTGTTTGGAAGACTGAAAAACACAGGCCAAAAGAAGGAAGTGACATGCAGTGTTATGAAATTAGTTCATAGACTTTAAACACACGATGCTGAACAACAGCTTGCTAATCAGCTTTGTCACTAACGTGCCTTTTCCTAGTTTATCCTATGCTTGATAATAAGCCTTATTGGCCAGGAAAGCAACTTTCTTTCTCCAAGGAAGGAATTCCCCTCACCCAAGGACTATGTTTTCAGAAGTGTTTCCCTTTACTAAGAATCCAATGGTCTTGTAATAGAACCTGAGTCACCCAATGCCACGTGCCTCTCGTAGGGACACAGGATGAAATTCAACAGGCTGAAGGTCTGGGGTCTGCTCTCAAATGTGAGTGGGCCTGTCTTTGACTTAAGCCTGGCTGTGCGCGCACAGCCTCAAGAGCTGTGAGCAGTAGAGATTGTTAGGAATTTCTTCTTTGAACAGATCTAGTGTTTCCCAGGTTGGAATGTAAACCCATTCATTTGTCATTCATTCACTTACGCACAAGAACTTAATAAAAGCCCATTTTTTGCTAAGCCCCTGAGAGCTGATAAGACTGCTACAAGGAGTAGGACCCAGCAACAAGGAGCCTCAGAAGGAACCAGCAGTGTAAACACTTATGTGCAGTAGAGCACTGTGGGGACTAGGATGGAAGGAGGAGATGGTCAATTTGCCTGGGTTGGGATTTAAGGAATCAGGAAAATGTCATAGAGGAGGTGATACTTGAGCTGAGCTTTGGGAAATGAAGGTTATTTTCCAGGTGGAAGTGAGGCAAGTACGTGGCATTCAGACAGAGAGTGAGCCTGGCGTTTGGGGGGAAAAGAAAGAAAATTTTGGTCTGCATCGTATGAGGAAGCATCATACTAAATTGGAAAGTTAGTATGATGTGAAACATTATATGACAAAGGAAGAAGTTTAGATTTTATTGTGGCAGCTCATGGGAACCTTTGAAGAGTTTCAAGCAGGGAAGTAACGTGATCTAAACTGCAGTTTTGAAAGATGGCTCCAATGGCAGTGTAGAAGATAGAATGGGGAAGAGGTAGGAAGAAGCAAGACCCAAGGCAAGTAGACAATACAAAAATTTAGGTGAGACAAGACAGCTGACTCAGTCTCTTCAAAGAGTCAGTGGAGGGAATTCCCTGGTGGTCCAGTGGTTAAGACTGCACTTCCACTACAGGGGGTCTGGGTTCAATCCCTGGTCAAGGAACTAAGATCCTGCAAGCTGCACAGTGTGGCCAAATAATTAATTAAATTTTAAAAATTTCAATGGGAAGGATCAAAGAGAGGGAACGGTTTTACTTTCCAAGAGGATTCAACTACATGAAATGTGTGGACCTTGTTTGGATCCTGATTCAAACAGGCCAGCTGTAAAGAGAAAATTTGGAAGAAAAACAGAGTATTAGGTAATATTAAGGCATTCTTGCTAATATTGTTAGGTGTGAAAATGCTACTGTGGTAACATAATAAAACAGCATACTGAAGTGTTTATGGGTGAGTTGTCATGATGTCTGGATTTGCTCTAAAACATTGTAGAAATAATAGATGAGGTAGCTATGGCAAAAAGTTAATAGTTATTCAATCCAGATGATGGATATGTAGGAGTTTGTTATACTCTATGTATATTTGAAAATCTTCAAAATAAAAAGCTAACATTTTAGGCAAAGGATAATGAGATCCTAAATTAAAGAAGTTATACTGAAAACGGGGACTTCTTGGTGGTCCAGTGGTAAAGAATCCTCCTTCCAATGCAGGGGACTCGGGTTCAATCCCTGTTCAGGGAACTAAGATCCCACATGCAGGTGGGGTAACTATGCCTGCAGAACACAACTGCTGAGCTTGCACGCCTCAACTAGAGAAGCCCGTGTGCTGCAACTAGAGTGAGGCCCGTATGCCACAATGAAGAACCCGCATGCCTTAACGAAGATCCCGCGTGCCGCAACTAAGCCCTGATGCAGCCAATAAACAAACAAATAAGAAGTTATACTGAAAACGGAGAGAAGAGAGCTATGAGAGACAGTAAAAAGGCAGAATTAACAATACTCAGTGACTGATTATAAGTGATTAGTGAAATTGAAGAGTTGAAGTGACTTCTAGGTTTTGCTTGGGTGCCTGGGGAGACGGGAAAGAGTTTACTCTTTCAGGCATGTGGAATTGGACTTTCAGTGAAACATTGACTTAGTGCTGCTTAGTAGGCAGTTGGACACGTAAATTTTTAAAGCTCAGGAGAGAGCCTGGGGCTGGTGGTGTGGATTTGTGAGCTGTCAGCTCACCAACACTTGGGTGGAGATTCAAATCATTAGAGGAGCATGGCAGGTGAGAAGGGAAGATGGCTGAGGAAGGAGCCCAAGGCACACTTACACTTAAGAAGTGGGGATAGAGGGGGCTTCCCTGGGCGCAGTGGTTGAGAATCTGCCTGCCAATGCAGGGGACACAAGGGTTCGAGCCCTGGTCTGGGAAGATCCTACATGCCACGGAGCAACTAGGCCCGTGAGCCACAATTACTGAGCCTGCGCGTCTGGATCCTGTGCTCCGCAACAAGAGAGGCCACGATAGTGAGAGGTCTGCGCACCGCGATGAAGAGTGGCCCCCACTTGCCATAACTAGAGAAAGCCTTCGCACAGAAATGAAGACCCAACACAGCCATAAATAAATAAATAAAATTTAAGAAGTGGGGATAGGAAGAACTTGCAAAAGAGATTAAGAAGAATGGCCAGTCAGGTATGAGGAGAAACAGGAAAAAATAATTTCTAGAGAATCTGTCAAGAAACAATAGTCAATAGAATCAAATACCCCAAGTTAAAATATGAAACCCATTGGATTTAGCATCTAAATGACAATTGCCAAAGAACTTTCAGTAGAGTATAACGTAAGAGGGGAGAGTAAGTGAAGCCTGGAAGATGAGGGAGGGGTGGATGGTCCTCACAGGAGGAGCGAGATGGCTAGAAACGGTTTGCAAATGGGCAAGCTCTGGTCCAATGGGATGATCAATTACCTCTGCTCAAGGGGGCTCAGTAGAAGTGAATTCCTGAGAGAAAAAAAAAAAAGTTTCAGTTAGGGCAAGGAGGAGAAGGGTATACTCTATAGAGATTAAGAATATAAGGTTGGTCTAATGAAGCAAAGATTCCAGAGGGCATTGTGGAGAGAGTTTACAAGAAGGTCAGCAGTGTCTGAGAGTCAGGAGGGTAGAAAGGGACTCTTGTCCTCTGGCTGGAATATTTTAGCAACCTCTTCAATAGTCTTCCAAATACAATTTTCTCCATTCTCTCCCATCTTGCAGGTATCAAATCTGGAAAATATTTATAAAGTACAGCCTTGATCATGTCAAACCCTTGCCCTAAAACTTTCATTAGCTCCTAATACCTACTGAGTTAGGTATAATGTAGATATTGAAAGCCCTTCCATAATCTGATTCCAACCTGCTTTTATCAGCCTGATCTTTCTGGGTTTATTTGTTTGTTTTTGTTATGTTTTGTTTTATTTTGTTTTCCTTTTCATGAACCTTCCTTCCAGGATGCCAGGTATTCACTCTTCTCTGAACATATTAATCATATGAAACATCAATATTATAGGAAAAGGGCATATAGTAGTGTCTAGCATATAGTAGCATTCAACAGATGTTAGTTTTTGGATACTGAACTATTTATAATTCCCCTCCAACCATTTCATGAAGTTCTCTTTACCTTGAAGTCTCTTTCTACCTTTCTTCATGTCACACGGCAAGATTCAGCTCAGGTGTCATCTGTTCCAGGAAGCCTTTCCTGTGTTCTCAGGCTGGACTGTGGGTGCCCTTGTCTGGGCTTCTGCGGCACCCCCATCTCTCCTGACACTCAGCCTATTAGATCTGTTTATATGTCTGTTTCCTCATTAGAGTATAAATTTCCTGAAGGCCATGGCTGAATTTTTTTTTAACACATTTATAGCATCAGTACCTAGTACAGTACATGGCACTATATATGCCTTAAAAAAAAAAAAAAAAAAGATATATTGAACAAAACTTCACTTCCTCTCTTCGTTAACTGCATTTTTATAGATGTGTGATATGGTTTCTTATATGATACCCTCACTCTACTCCTGAATGGAAGTGGACATTGTTTTTGTCACCAGTGTCCCTTCCTGTTCTTCTGGCAACATGTCTGATTTTCTCTGTGAATTCTCTGCTCTTGGTCTTTGTGATCTGGATGCGGCTTCCCCCAACACCTTGCCCCAGGGTGGAGGACAAGACACAGGCCTAAATCAGCCAGTTATTGTTCCATTTCCTGTGGCCTCACTGGTTTAGGTGAGCCACGTGCTCTAAGCCTTTCCAATCATAGTAAATCTCAGGACTGTCTTCAGTTACTGGAAGAGGAATTCTTCTCTCTCTCTCTCACCCTCTTTCTTCCGCACATGGTCATTGGGCGCAGGGCTATTTTCATACCACAAGAGACAAATATATTTGAAAATGAAGGCAATAGTTGGAGAGAACACAACCAGGAGAGAAAGAGAGAAAAAAACAGAGTCCTGGTGATGGAAAAAGAACTGAATTCAGCCATACTTGGAAAGAAAACTATTGCTTGTCAGTTTGTGTTGGATTTTCTGTCATTTGCAACAAAACCATCTTAACTAATATGATATTTATGGGTATCTAGTACATTGCTCGACACATGAGACTATTCAACAAATGTATTTAATAGATAAATAAGTTGTTGTGAGGAACAGCAGTTATTTACTTCTACAGGGCAATTTGGCAATATATAGCCTTAAAAAAGATCGTCCTTCTGGAGACGGATGATGGTGATGTTTGCACAACAATGTGAATATAATTCATGTCACTGAACTGTATACTTAAAGATAGTTAAAATGGTAAACTTTATGTTATATGTTTTACTACACTAAAAAAATGAATAAGAGAAAGGAAATGATCATCATTAGACCAGAAATAAAGGTTTATAGCCCAGTTAACACATGAAAACATAGTGTCAGGAAAGCTTGCTGCACTCGTATTACTATTAATACTAGTAGTAATTTTCTACTTTTAGAAATGTATCTTAGGGAAATAATTAGGTAAGTATACAAAGTATGTTTATCTGAACATTATTTATAATATCAGTAGGGACTGGCTAATAAAATTATGATATATTCAAATAATGGAATATCATATAGTCATTAAAATAAGGTAGACTTATGTGCCAATTCTTATGAATATATACATCAGAGTGCTATTGGAATTATATTAATATCAAATCATTTCACAAAAATAAGGCAAGACTTTTACACAATTTATGAATCAGAACCAAATGGTTGTAAGGAAGAACATCATTCAGTGGCTGGTAGGAGGTAGAAAAGCTCACTCAGAAAGAACTTACGATATTTCACTGAATTTCAGATACCATTGGTTGTGAGATGCTTCCTGATTTCAGAGATATCAAAATGTGAAAAACGGGCTTCCCTGGTGGCGCAGTGGTTGAGAGGCCGCCTGCCGATGCAGGGGACGCGGGTTCCTGCCTCGGTCCGGGAGGATCCCACATGCAGCGGAGAGGCTGGGCCCGTGACCCATGGCCGCTGGGCCTGTGCGTTCGGAGCCTGTGCTCCGCAATGGGAGAGGCCACGGCAGTGAGAGGCCCGCGTACCGAAAAAAAAAAAAAAAAAAAGAAAAAAAAAATGTGAAAAACTATACAGCAGAAAATTGTGCATAGAGATAAATGGGATGAAGGGAAATAGGACATGAAAATCATCAGACATAGTAAACTCAAAAGGAAAAGTGTTATAAGGTTTATAGAATAAAACTATTTTATACCTAGTGAAAGGAAGCTTTGAGGAGGGATGTAAGATGGCCACAAAAACATGCACTGAAGGTTGATTTTGTAGCTAATCTAAATTAGGAAGCAAGTAACTCTCCCTGCTAATTTGAACACTGCATATTAGGTAATAGTGAGTGTTAATTCATTTACATTTGTGAGGTTTCTTTCTCTATTTTTTCTTAAGTGGAGGCCAAGCTTGTAATTTTAGCTTCCCCTTCTGCTTTAAGAAGGTGTTTGGCAGCTGAAGAGAGATAAAAAAGAACGGGAGCAACAAATTGCTAATACTCAAGGAGAAGGTCAAATGTCTACATTTTTCATGTAAACAGAATATAGGGAACTCAAGACTTCCCCTTAAGAGTGTTCAGGGGCTTCCCTGGTGGTGCAGTGGTTGAGAGTCCGCCTGCCTATGCAGGGGGCACGGATTCGTGCCCCGGTCCGGGAAGATCCCACATGCCGGGGAGCGCCTGGGCCCGTGAGCCATGGCCGCTGAGCCTGCGCGTCCGGAGCCTGTGCTCCACAACGGGAGAGGCCACAACAGTGAGAGGCCCGCGTAAAACAAACAAAAAAAAAGAGTGTTCAGTATCTCTTCCCAGCCTCACCGGTTAGGAATTTGACCAGCTGTCTATCGGGAAATGGGCTTTTAAAATGTCAAGCATTCTCTCTCTCTCTTTCCCCTCCCCCCGCCTCTGCCTCTCTCTCTCTCTCTCCCTCTCTCTCTCTCTCTCTCTCTCTCTCTCTCTCTCTCTCTCTCTCTCTCTCTCTCTCTCTCTCTCTCTCTCACACACACACACACACACACACACAGACACACACAGACACACACACACATTCACATTCACAGATTTCAGTTCTTAGCAATACACTATACGTATGCTATTTACTCACATAGCTTGTTCCTTATTTTCAGTTATTTCTGTCCGTGGTAAAGTGGGAAGCATTCGGAAAGGCAAACTGCTCTTAGTTTTACTATGACTCACAATGAGCTCAAGTCAGGCGCCCAGGACCACTGCCACCAGCAACTGCTGCATCCAGAGCATCATCATAAGCACCTTCCATTTGATGTAATTACTGACCACAGACAGAGGGACTTGACCAAAAGCCACAGGTATGGGTCTAGGCAAAATGCTTTGGTAAATAAATTTAACCTCACAGGTAAACAAATTTTCAGATCTAGAAGGAAACCTAAAGAACATGTAAGCCCTGAAATTCTTAACTTTTGTCAAGCAACAAACTTACCTCAGGACTCTTGAAACATCTTGGGATGAGGTCCAGGGTTGTATATTTTTCAAAAAGCTTCACATGTAATTCTGCTGTACATTAAAGGCTAAGAATCACTGTTCTAATCCCATTCCTCTTATTTTACAGATGGTGACCTGGGGCCCAGAGAGGTGCTGCCTTGCCCAAGATCACACACCTGGTTAAAAGCAGAAACAAGTCTAGAACTCAAAGCTCCTGATTCCTGGCCCAGGGTCTTTATTCTTACACTACCATCCTGCCCCACTGACTGTTTTCCGAATATTTACTATTATTCCTTCCTAATACAATTGAAAATGTATAACCATTGGTTATTTAATGACAAATCATAGAGTTGCAAAATCTAGCATTTATGAAAGGAGCCAGTCACAAAAGACCACATATCATATGATTCCGTTTATATGAAATGTCCCGAATAGGCAACTCCATAGTGATAGAAGTAGATTAGTAAATTACCAGGAGCTGGGGCAAAGGGTGGAAATGGGTATGGGTTTCTTTTGGGGGGTGATGAAATGTTCTAAAATTAATTGTGGTAATGGTTGCACAACTCTGTGAATATTTAAAAACCACTGAGGGGACTTCCCTGGTGGTGCAGTGGTTAAGAATCCACCTGCCAGTGAAGGGGACATGGGTTCGAGCCCTGGTCTGGGAAGATCCCACATTCCGAGGAGCAACTAAGCCCATGTGCCACAATTACTGAGCCTCCATGCCTAGAGCTGGTGCTCTGCAACAAGAAAAGCTGCCGCAATGAGAAGACCGCGCACCACAACGAAGAGTAGCCCCCGTTTGCTGCAACTAAAGAAAGCCCGCGCACACCAATGAGGACACAATGCAGCCAAAATAAATAAATAAATGTATAAAAAAATAAAAATATATAAAAATAAAAACCATTGAATTGTACACTTTCAAAAGATGAATTGTATGGTATATGAATTATATCCCAATAAGATTGTTTAAAAAAACTAGGACTAACTTCTCACTGGACTCTGAAAGATAATTTAAAAGTTTTACTTACTTCATTCTTCAACATATCTCTAAAATAATAGTTTCCAAATGGGTCTTATCCTTAAATGTAGTTTATCCCTACTTAGGCGCATTTCCCAGTGCCCTATACCCCCCAAACAGATTGATCTTCCCAGAGCTTAGTCTGACATTTAGGAGTTTTGTCCTTCATGCCACCAGACTTTGTGCCCTTGCCAAGACTGTTCCCTCCACTGAGGAGGCCAAATTGTGTTTTCAAGGCCTGGCTCATATGTCATCTCTTCAAGGGCCTTTTGTCTCCACCACACTGGAGGTGGTCTGCCTTCCAGGGTATAAGAGGTGACTTTTTTTTTTTTAGAAACAGACTTTATTAAAAATTTTAATTTATTTTTGGCTGTGTTGGGTCTTCGTTGCTGCACGTGGGCTTTCTCTAGTTGCAGCGAGTGGGGGCTACTCTTCGTTGCAGTGCGTGGGCTTCTCATTGTGGTGGCTTCTCCTGTTGCGGAGCACATGCTCTAGGCATGCGGGCTTCAGCAGTTGCAGCACGCGGGCTCAGTAGTTGCGGCTCGTGGGCTCTAGAGTGCGGACTCAGTAGTTGTGGTGCACGGGCTTAGTTGCTCCATGGCATGTGGAATCTTCCTGGACCAGGGCTCGAACCCGTGTCCCCTGCATTGGCAGGCGGATTCCTAACCACTGCACCACCAGGAACGTTTCTGTTTTTAATGTATTTATTTTTGACTAATACATCAAAAATAAACAAATAAAATAAATAAATCTATTAAAAGTCTGTTTCTAAAAAAAAAATGTCACCTCTTATACCCTGGAAGGCAGACCACCTCCAGCGTGGTGGAGACAAAAGGCCCTTAGATGATATATGAGCCAGGCCTTGAACACACGATTTGGCCTCCTCAGTGGAGGGAACAGTCTTGGCAAAGGCACAATACACATGTGGTATACATTTTTGGTGTATTAGTCATGTTTCTCCCAACTAGACTATAAATTTACTTAGGGTAGGAACCATGATTTATAGTTCCTTAAGATCATAAGTTCTGGAATCAAAATATGCTCAAATCCTGGCTCTCCTACTTGCCAGCTGTATGACATTGGGCAAATGGCTAACTCCTCTGTGCCTTAGTTCCTAATATTTAAGACGGACATAGTAAAAGTACCCATCTCATAGGAGTGGCTATAAGGCTAAATGAGGCAGCTCATGTACAATGCTCAGCAGATGGCTGGCACGTTGTAAGAACTCAATAAACATTAGCTATTACTATTACCCTCCACATTGCTCAGCATATCAGTGAACACTGAGTAGATGCCTAAAAATTAATTGTTGCTGATCTATTAGGTTACATATAAATTTCTTTTAGATGCCTAAAAGAATCAGAAACTCTTGTATTAAGACAAAAAGGGTGTATTTGTACAGACACTAATTATTTTTAAACATTTATCTGGAAAATTTTACTTCCCCATTTTTGAGGAGCATCTCACCATTGCCCCCATATATGCTCTCACCTGGGTCCTGGAGACCAGGTGAGGAAAGCAAGAGGATTATCTCCCTCACTTCATAAGGAAATAGGGAATGAGCATTAGATGACAAGATAAAACTCAGATGCTTGGAGTATTCTGGGTGCCAAGTATCAGCCACCTGCTAAGAATTCATACTAAAGAGTCCATATTTGCGTAGTTTTTTTGTTTTTGATTGTGTGTACCTCAAAGAAATAAACATAAATTACTGTATTGGCCTGTTGGTAGTTGAGGGGACAGTATGTCTAGTAGAGTACAAGACAATAATAAAGATGAGAAGAAGGTAATTAAAGACCCAAGGCTGAGCTCTAGACACACACTATTATTATATTTTATATTATACCAATTACCATGCATGCCCCTCCCCCCAATATTCTACAAGCTAAATGGCTTCAATCAGCTTATCTGGAAGAGCCAACACCTTAAGTCCCATGTGGTCCCTGGACTGCATCCTGGTAAAATCCTTGGGACTCAGGTGGCTACAGAGAAAAAAATTATTGTTGGGGGGGAGGGGATATGAGACTGCAGCAGATGATACTACCTAGACAGTTGTGGGATGTGTGTGTGATCCATACCATTAAAAAAGATCATAGAATGTGAATTGCTTTGTAAAAAAATTCTTTGGGGCTATTCCTCTTCTTTTACACTTAAGTGTCACATTTTCCAAATGAAAGATTAAAAAAATAAGAGCTGGTTGAAAATCAGAATTGATTTATTTATTTTAGGATGTGATGATACAAGACAAGGCTAGAAGGCAATTGCACTGAATCACAATCCCATCTGCTGACTGTTCCCTTTGTCCAAAACTTCTGATGGCTGAGGGGCCAGAGCTGTCAGGCAAGGTGGGAATTAAATGCAGATGTGATGGGAGGTCAGGATGCCAGGAGAAGAGTGAGCACACCTGGCTTTCAGCCCAGTTCTGCCACCACTTGGCTCTGCCTCTTTGGACAGGTCACTCCACTTTTCCTCATCAGTAAGATGACCAGTGAGGGACAGGAAAATCATCGCTAAAACTCTTTCCAGCCCTGACATTTTATGATTCTGTTGAATCTGAGAAAATGTATGCATTATCCTGCATTGTAAATTACTATTTACCTAAAAAGTTGATCTTTCTCTCTCCTCTCCTCCTCCCTCTCCCTTCTCCCCCAAACCTCCCAGCATGCACACACTGTCCCTTTCCCCCTCTGACTTTCACTTCAGAATCTGAAAAATATTCCCAAACCTAAAATTATTGGTTACAACAATGTTTTCCCCTGGATGTGTCTACGAGGCATTTGTTGAAAGCTTGAATTTAAATTTGTAGTTTCAAAGGAGCAGGAAGGATGATGATACTGAATGCTTGGCCATGTAGAGCTGTCTCAAGGCAGTTTCCCTACACAAGCTGAACAGTAGTTCCACATAAAGCTAATGATTATATTCCTTCTCTATTTCCCTTCAAATGGTTCCTTAGAATTAGGATTGCTCTAAAGTCTCCATAATTATTTTAAATGACTGGGTCTTCCAATACTGTTCTTTAATATAATTTCTGGGTAGGCAGTCAGCATAAAAAAGGACTAGGTCAGCTCTCTCTGTGTCAGTGCTTGGCAGCACAGCTCCTCTGGGATGTGTCTCCTGGCATCCACCCAGCCTAGCTATCAACAATAAAAGCTTCTGTTTGTGCTTCCAGTAAGTCATAAATAAATCTCCTCAATCCCACCTGTTTTCTGAGAAGAGCTTCAACAGTGTCCTTTACCTTGGGTTAAAAAAAAAGAGACATGATTGTTGCTTTAGGAAAATAGGTTTTAAATGTCCACTAAGCAATTGTTGCTTTTCATTGTTCCCTACTCCCAACATTTAGATGTGTAATTTGAGTTGCAGTCCCTCTGGTTGCCAAGTTTCTGAGACTGGACTGCTTTCCCACTTTATGTTAATTGCCTTTTTGAAGCTGCTCAGCCCTAAGCGATCCTCCTGGGTATGAAAAGTGTTAGTTGTGGAAGAAGGGCTCTTCACCTGAGCAGCAGGGAAGGCATACCCTCCAGTAATGTAACCACACAAGGGGCAGAGGCAGTGACCTACCTGGCTACGGCTTCAGGAACCCTAATTATCATCCTCAAAAGGTGAGAGGTCCAGGACTGTTGGCCTCTGGGGGAATACCAGGCACCCAGGCTGGTACTAAAGGAAGAACAAAATAGGGTTCCTGTTTAGCTAAACAAGAAAACAGGCAAACTCAGTTGCAGCCCAAACAGGTTGGATATCTTAAACACTACTCGTCACAAACCTCCTCTGAAACATTAAGCCTCATATTACTGTTCTGAGGTAAACATTAATCTTATTTTCCGGTAAGATGTAGAATGAGGTCAAGCACATTGTTTCCTACTGCAGTCAACATTAGAATTAAAGAAATCTGAATCTCTTCTCAAAACTACATAAATGAGTCATTTCAGGTGATTCACCATTGAGTTCATATAAGCAACATGTTTCCTGAAGCATTAAAAATGGAAGCAGGGATTTTTTTCCCCTCTGTCACATTCCATTGGCCATGAAACAAACCCAGAAGGACCAGAAGTGAATGTTACCGAAGAAAGTCTCCTATCTGTACTTTGGTCCTTATGAAGGGACATAGATTTCTGTGCTTGTGCATACTTCCTTCTCTTGTTATTATCCTTTTTTTTTTTTTCTTTCCCCCGCGCTGTGTGACATGCAGGATTTTAGTTCCCCAGTTCCCGGACCAGGGATTGAACCTGCGCCCTCAGCAGTGAAAGCACAGAGTCTTAATCGCTGGACTGCCAGGGAAGTCCTCCATACTTCCCTCACTTGTAATGCCAAACTCTGCAAGAGAACTTTGCACATGTTCCCACAATTCAGATATGTCCAAGTTTCCCTTTTTATAAAAATACCAGGGGATTAGGCCCCACCCTAATGACCTCACCTTAACTCGATTACTTCCTTAGAGACTCTATCTCTAAATAAGATCACCTTCTGAGGTACTGGAGGTTAGAACTTCAACATATGAATTTTAGGGGGGGATACAGTTCAACCCATTAGACTGTCACAAGTAGGATTCCCAGGGAAGCAGACTCTGAGACGGAATTTAGCATGCACAGTGTTTTTTCTGTTTTTTAATTTTAAATTTATTTTATTGAAGTATAGTTGATTTACAATGTTGTGTTAGTTTCTGCTGTACAGCAAAGTGATTCAGTTATACACACACACACACACATTCTTTTTCATATTCTTTTCCATTACGCTTTATTACAGGATATTGAATATAGTTCCCTTTACTATATACAGTAGGACCTTGTTTATCCATTCTACATATAATAGTTTGCAACTGCTAACCCCAAACTCCCAGTCCATCCCTCCTCCACTCTTCCTCCCCTTTGACAACCACAAGTCTGTTTTCTATGTCTGTGAGTCTGTTTCTGTTTCATGGATAAGTTCATTTGGGTCGTATTTTAGATTCCACATATAAATGATATCATATCGTATTTGTCTTTCTCTGTCTTACTTCGCTTAGTATGATAATCTCTAAGTCCATCCATGTTGCTGCAAACGGCATTATTTCATTCTTTTTTTATGGCTGAGTAGTATTCCATTGTATATACATATACCACATCTTTTTTATCCATTCATCTGTCAACGGACATTTAGGTTGCTTCCATGTCTTGACTATTGTACATAGTGCATGCACAGTGTTTATTGAGGCTTGTCCTTGGGATCAACAACTGGGGAAGTGGGGGAAAGGAAGCAGGCAGGATTAGACAGAGGGATGTCAAGTTGTCATGCAGGCCCCACAGCTGCCTTAGCCAACCCCACAGAGCTCTCTGGAGCAAGAATGGCCCTTCAGAGTTGTACTAAGTTGGGCTGAGATGATCAGGGCTTTATACTGCCACATCAGTCAGTCATTGGACCTAGCCACCTCAGGAAGTGGCATGACTTTGGGCGAGGCAGTTCTCTATAGCTGAGGCAGTCTCTGAAGCGGCTGACAGCTGAGGGCATCTGCCAACAGCACACCCAGCAGCTGGGGCAACAAGCCCTCAGTAAAGGGAGATCTGGGCAGTGTATCATAGAGCCCACAACACTGGCTACAAAAATGGAATATGGTGTAGGTCTTCTGCAACTTGCTTTTCAAAAATGTTAATGATTATTTTCAAACAATTCCAAAGTAGAGAGAATAGTATAATTAACTGCTATATACCCATCATCTAGATACTTCAATTATCAAGATTTTGCAACACTTGCTTCATCTATCCCTTTCTCATTTTTGATTTATTACTTTAAAGTTGACTTCATGTCATTTCACCCCTGCATACTTCAATATCCATCTCTAACAAATATGAACATTTTCTTACATAACCTCAATGCCATTTTCATACCTAATAAATTTATAACAATTCCTTGGTCCATTTTTAGATTTCCCTAATTATCTAAAAAAATTCATTTTTATAATCAGCATGTTTCAACTAGAATCCAAATAAGGGGAACACATTATTTTGGTTATGTCTCATTTCTTTTCATCTAAAGCCATTTCTTTTCCCCTTTATCTCCATGCCATTGTCCTGTTGAATAATTAAAAGAATGTGGGCCATTCTTGTTTATTTGCTTCTTAATGGTTCTTTTAACTTGTCCCTCTATCCTCCATGTTTCCTGTAAATCTTAAGCCAGTGCTAATGCTTGCTTAGATCCAGGTTCAAAGATCACAGGTAGTGCTGTGTGCTTCATACCGCACCACATCAGAAAGCACACAATTTCTGGTTACTCAACTGTTAGTGACACTAAGACTCATCAGTAGGTTCAGGCTGTGACTATCTGAGCCCTCCATCGTAAAATTCCCCATCAGTCTTTCCTGTAATTGTATCATCCTTTGGTGATCTTTGCCTGAAGCAATGATGTGACAGTGAGTTGCAAGAGTGATTTTCTAATCCTGGACTTTCCCCTACATTTATCAGCTAAAATTATTTTGTGAAGAAGTGCTATTTGGTTGCCTGAAACATAGTTTATATGGAAAAGATAGGATAAAGCTTAATTCTTTACCTTTATATTGCCAATTTTCAGAATATAGCGATGAATGTTTCTCACTTTCTCTCTGTAAAATCTCTTCATGAAATCGTGATTTTAAAAATATGACCAGTGTGTTTCCATCAATTGCAGTAATTGTTCTTTTGAATGCTTATGGTGTCTGATTTTTTACCAAGAAGAGTCTCTTCGTGTTAGCTCCTGTGTCCTTTTGACACAATCCAACTAATTTTTTGAGAACTTACTTGCTTTCTGGAATAACAAGGTATCTCAGGCTCATACTGTACATTTTATTCCCCAGACAAGGAATTAGCCATTTCTCCAAAAAGCTCTGCTTCTTTTTAGTAGGAAATTGTATTTTTTTTAAATAAACTTTTTTGTTATGGAATAGTTTTAGATTACAGAAAAAATTGTAGAGATAGTATAAAGAAAAATCTCATATACACCATACAGTTTCCCCTATTATTAGCATCTTACATTAGTATGATATATTTGTTACAATTAATGAACCAATATTGCTGCATTATTATTAACTGAAGTCCATACATTACTCAGACTTCCTTAGCTTTTATGTAATGTCTTTTTCTGTTCCAGGATCCCATCCATGATACCACATTACATTTAGTCAACATGTCTCCTCAGACTTTTCTTGGCTATGACAGTTTCTCAGACTTTCTTTGTGATGACCTTGACAGTTTTGAGGAGTTATGGTCAGATATTTATAGACTGTGCAACAATTGGGATTTGTCTGATGTTTTTCTCATGATTACCCTGGGACTGTGGGGCTTGAAGAGGAAGACCACAGTGGTAAAATGCAGTTCTCATCACATTGTAACAGAGGTTCATGCTATCAACATGACTTATCACCGATGATGTTAACGTTGATCACTAGGCTGAGGTAATGTTTGTCAGGTTTTTCCACTGTAAAGGTACTCCTCTCCTCCCTCTTCATACTGTACTCTTTGGAAGGAAGTTATTATGCACAACCCACACTTAAGGAGTGGTAAGGTATATTCCATCTCCTTAAGGGAGGAGTATCTACATAAATTCTTTGGAATTCTTCTGCATAGGAATTTTGTCTATTCTCCTGCATTTATTTATTCATTCAATTATCAGATATTGATTTTATCCAATATTACTTTATTTATTTGTGCTCAGATTGCTCCAGCTTCGGCCATTGGGCTCTTTCGGTCCACTCCTGTGTCCCTTTGACATAACCCCATCATTGTGGGGTTTCTTGAGCACTTTATTACTTTCTGGCGCTACAAGATGCTCCAGGATCATCTTGTATATTTCTTGCCCTAGCCTTTTTTTTTGGCTGTGTTGGGTCTTCGTTGCTGTGCATGGGCTTTCTCTGGTTGCGGCGAGCGGGGGCTACTCTTCCTTGCGGTGCGCAGGCTTCTCATTGCAGAGGCTTCTCTTGTTGCAGCGGAGCATGGGCTCTAGGTGCGTGGGCTTCAGTAGCTGTGGCACACGGCCTTAGCTGCTCTGCGGCATGTGGGATCTTCCCGGACCAGGGCTTGAACCCATGTCCCCTGCATTGGCAGACGGATTCTTAACCACTGCACCACCAGGGAAGCCCTACCGTCCTAGTCTTAGAATCAGCCATTTCTCCATGGAGCTCTGGTTCCTTTTACAAGAGAATGTTATTAGAAATACAAGATAGGTGTGCTTGTTCATATTGGGGTGTGTCATTGCTTCTAGGCACTTTCAGCTGACAGAGAAAGGAAATATATGTATGTATACTAATCTGTATATATACACACATATTTATTAATATTTCTATATGTAACAATTGTATCTATATCAAGCTAAAAATGGGTTCACACTGATGTCTTGAACTCTAATCCATTATCACATGGATCATTTTCGTTTTCTCCTCTTGCTTGTCTGTAACCTCCAACTCCAGCACTAAGGAAGAAATCTGGCTCTCACCATTCCCCATCCATTTACCTGATTGTTCAGTTCCAGTATGGATGTATACTGGTTTCAGAATTGTTAACCTGTACCTTTGTGGGAAACAACTTTATTGACTAGAGTATAGTACTTATGTATGACTCCGTTTACTTTTAGTCATACAGGCTCCACTCATTTCCAAAGTTACTTAGATCAGCACCTTTTCTCCCCATGCTTTTCAGAGAGGTTGGCTCATACAT